GGGGACGGGGGGGGGACGGGGCGGAACGCTGGCGTGGCTTCGTATGGTATGGGGCATTAGTGTAACGAGACCTGGCGATCCGCAGGTAGTGGCTCCATCCCAGACAAGAATGACCGTTCCGAGTCTGGTGGATGCGTGGAAGGGAAAAGTATTCCTAGCGGTAAGGACGCCAGTCCCACAACCCATTTTGTAATTACGATTTTGTTTAGTAACTTCATTCTTCAAGGTATTTACTGTGCAAAAAATCGTTAAAAATCATGAAATATACTAGTTTTTCATTATTATAAAAATTAATGAAAAATACTTTCCAGTAATATTTGTAATATTTCTTAATCAAGTAAACGGATTACAACTTTTCTAATTTACTCAACTTTATTACATTTAAAAGTGGCGCATATTTTTAACTGTTAATAATATACCCGGAATTTCAGAGAATCCTAATAAATGAAAAACACAAAGAACAAATACAACAGTTTCCTTGAGAGACTAACAAGCTTCTTACTTCGTGAGATTGTACTGCGATGCGATAATATTTCCAAAGCTATTAGAAACATTTTACACTATTTGACAAACTGTTGAGTTTAAATACGTTTTGGTAACCTACAAAACGGTAAAATGTCTAAAAATTAGAAGAATTTAAAATATTTCCCCAAGTTTTTTAAGTTTTCATTTTCATTCTAGGAGCAACAGAATTTTCTGTAGTAATCAAAGCCCAATTTCTAAGCGCGCACATTGCTAGGACAAATAGCTGGCGTGTGAACTCGGGCAGTAGCGTGTTACACGTAAATCACATGCGCGACTACATCTTTCGTGCCGATTTCAGACCTGCGCTAACAATTCCCTGACCGCAAACTAGTCCTTGAGAAGAAAGCAATGACTTATGATGTGTAGTTTTGAGCAAGCAAATTGCCGGAAACCGCGAACATAAAAAGGAGCCTGTTCTCTCTGGGATTAAATGTAACATGCACAGTGGAAAGTCAATATCTCTCTCTTTCTCGTACACACCACACACACGCATCGGAGTTTTAAAGCAAGGGGCTTACACAAAGTACTATAACCACACGAAACATTCAAGAACGCCCATCTGTTAGATCGACGACTCAACGGACTCCTCTGGCAACAACGCAACGTTATGGTGGGCATCTATTTTGACAGACAATATTCCACAACTCCCAGAGCAATTAAGTGGTGGAGTGTCTTTAGAATTCCTAGTATTTGAAAATTAGTGTGTAGAGCATATCTAAGGAACAGTTTGAGAATCGCATACTACATTTCCAAGTGTTTTTGACGCACTCAACTGCGTTTTGTTTCACACACACCTCTCTCTCGCTCGCTCCAGGAAAGAGAAACACACGAGCACGTGCCATAAATGTTGGAGCGTCTGAGAATGTACCTGTAGAATGTTCCTGGAATAACCAACGCGGACGAGAAGGAACGTAGACTCAAAATACATTATGTCGTCGAATTAACATTCTCAGAAAAGTTAATCCTTCTGGTGAAACTTGCATTATTATTCAACCAGAAAACTACATTCCCAGGAACGAAAAGCTTATGTGGGTGTTCACAATGTAATTCACGAGTTAATTATTCCTCGAAATTATAGGATTGAAATTCATCTTCGTTGTTTTATTCATTCCTTTGAAGTATAAAGAAACGCTTAGGTGAACACTCATTAACCTCGAAGCAACTCCGGCCTCTAATAGTCTCGTCCGCTTGCCCAAGAGACTTTAGCGAAGAGAAAGAAGATATACTAGAGCCGCCATGTCACCCGCAAGACTTGTTTACTCCTGCAAATAGGTCCGAATTACCATCCGACCTCGCGGACAAGAGGAGACCACCCGAGGGGAGCGAGCTCTGCAATCGGCGGCGGAGGCAGAAGCGGAACTCACGGAAGCAGAACGGCGGCGCCGACGACAGCGCCTCTGGCGGGCAATTTGCATATTTCCGCGAACCGATGGCCGCGTGATCCAGAGCACTGGGCGGTGAAGAGAATAGGGCTCCACCGACACCATTGAAAACAATATGATAACAATACGACGGGGATTTTTGCGGGAATTAAATGGACTTACGTTTATGTTTTGTAATCTTTAATGACAACACGGTTCTGTCGAACCAAAGATATGCGAATACGCACTGGTGAAACGTGACATGAATATTTTTTATTCCTCGTGAAATATCAGATGAATTTGAACTTAGTGCGCGTCAATTTCCGTTCGGTTTAATTTAATGACTGAACATTTTCCACATTCGCGGGATGAAATATTTTTTGTCGTTTCCTCCAGCAATCTGCCATTATTACTTGTAACTCTAAAGCAGTGTTGGCTTGGGATCGTTGTTATTACCATCACCGTTATCAGAATTCATTACCCAAGTTATCACAAAGAGCGGTTTCTTCTAGAACTAGTTCTGACCCTATCGAGCAGAATCAACTGTAAAGGTGTTTCCCAATTCATCAATGTACCACCATTATATCTGGCAAGTTGCTAAATGCCAAATAATTGTAAAATGAAAAGGTTTATATATTCGAAATAATTTATTTGTTCAATTTTACAGATTTTAATTCACTTCGAATATTTAACACGAGTTGGTATTCCAAACACAATCTATATGCACAAAGAATGAGAACAATTATTTCAAGTTATTTGTTTCCTTTGTAACTTCGAGGTCGCAAGAGGTTACCCAGAGATTCTTAAGCTTAATCTAATTCCTTAACCCAATGAAGAGTATATAGTACGTTTTGATTTGCAGAGTAAGATAATTCTGAGTTTTGTGAAATAAGCCCTAGCGTGCACATGATCAACGAAAGCCCAGAGAAAAATCACTTGTTTTACGTCTGCAGTAATTTTCTGCTGGAAACAGAACTCCTTCAACAGCGTTCATCCCGAGAGTAAAAAAAATTCAGCTCCAAAAGAGTCAATTCAAGTGATACACATTAAAACAAAATAAGAAAACACTCCCACTTAATGTTTGAGGAACACAAGCACCTGAATAGTTGCCTGAAAGCGGTAATTGTGAAATTGCGAGAAAGGGTGTGCGAGGTTTATCTCGGCCCCGCCGCACCACGCACAGGTGTCCGAGGCGGAGTCCGGCTGCCCCTGACCTCTCGCCGCCGCCCTCGGCTCGCCCGCCCGAATTAGGCAGAGGCGGCCGCGGCGATCACAAACGGAGCCCGCGGGCGGGTGCCATTACGGCCGACACGTGGACTGCCACCTGGGCGGGCCTCGTCGTTACGGCCGACGCCGCCACCACCGCCGTAACCACTACCTTAGCCGCCGTCGCCACCCCCATCAGCCGCCCAGAACGCGATATCGGACTCGTCCAGACAGCCTGCAGCACCGAATGATAGCTATTCTGGTTCGAGAAAGCCTCACATTCAGGAGTGGTCCGCGGGCTAAGTAAGCATTCGATTTATTTCTGTGATTGTAAGATTGTTCAAACGGTTTAAGTTTTGGCCTGTTTTATAAGCCTAAATTATTTATTGGATTTTTGAGCCCTTTTACAGGTTACTTATAACAAGACTTAACACTAAACTTTCTATTGTGACACATTTTACAATGAAATAAAAACATTCATTTGGCTGCAGAACAAAAAATCACTTGTTTTTGGCGCGAGGAATCTCATCACTTTATCCATTTTCATCCTAAGACATTTCATTCTGTTTGCGAGTACTATTTCACATATAATTTCAGAACGATTCATTACAATCCATCTATGCTACGTGTATCTGGTTCGTGCTGAACTAGTCCGAACAGAATCTTGTATTAAATTATCTTCAAACATGAAAAGCACCACATTGCATCGCACCCGGCTGACTTCTAGAACACGAACTACTTTTCGTGATGTTACTATAGGTTTGTCCAGGTTAAAAAAAACAACAAAAACATACCTGATGAGATCGTTTAGATAGAAATACGTCGAGAAAGTAAACTTCGCTGCCTTTTACAGTCCTCAGCGAAAATAATGCTTCATTTCATTAACATGTGTTAATAATAATGTTCGAGTTCTTTCCTAATTTTGTGATAAATGAAGAAAGTAATTTGAATGATCCTGACTGACTTAGACACGTTCAGAATACCACAAGACGGCAGCAATCATTTAGTAAAACCCTACACTAACACGAAGATACTGTTACACCCAACATTTGTCTATTACTAAATGAAAGCCTTGAAGCCCGGTAAACAAAAGCCGCGACGCATCCGCCCATGGACACATGCTCTCCCCGAGAGGCGCATGTTGTTGCCGGAAAGGCGCGTGGTATCCGAGAATGTTTGCTCGCCGGAGATCTCAATTCCCGAGAAAGTTCTATGGAACCTGACTTGTATTCGAATGCGAACAGAAGTCCACGTGTTTTAAGCTGAAAGTTCAAACCTTTACTCAGCGCCTTGTTTACAGGCCGCTCCGCCGCGTGCCTGGAATGCCCGCCAGAAAGCGCGCGAGGGGGGCAGCTTTGTCGCTTTCGTTAGAAGCCGCAACGGGGCGGTGATGGCGACGGTGGAGGCGGAGAGGGCGGCGGCGGGGCGTGGGCGCGAGCTTGTCCAAAGCTTTATTATATGTTTGTTGTACTTTGTCCAAAAGATGAATGACCATTCACTTCGCTGGTTTCTCTTTCGTCGGCCACGCGTTTTTTTCCTCTTTTTCTGAAGATCAACCATTGCATATCTCCGTTATTAAGTGATACTATTAGTTGTGCATAACTGAAGGAATTCCAATATGTTACCACAATTCGAAAGAAATACAAATAATTAAAAGTTAAATTTTAATACAGTTGATGTTAACAATTTGATACTAACTTTATGGTCTTATTTCAGAGTTTTTAATTAGTATTTACCGTAGTCATTATGATAGGGAGAATACTCTTACTCCTCGACGCTTGTTATGTCTAATTGAATATTGAATAAACCATTGTTTCTAATAGTGGTTAGATTTCCAAATTGCTTCATTTCTGGCCGAACAAGATCTCGGGCAAAAAACAAAGGTAGTTTCTTAACATGTTTTAAAATATTGTGGTATTTTCAATTATTCGAAAACTTGTGGATTTATCAACTAATATTTAAAATAAAACACTAAATGGGTATCCTCAAATGGGTGTTCTCAAATTCTCGAGAAATCTTGACTCGCAAAATGACGCTGAGCTTGTATATAAAAAAGCATTACACTTTTGTATTATTTTCTAAAAATAGAATATGCATCATGAAAGAATCTCCATTCATACATCTTACCCTCAAAATCATCGAGCGACGCAAGTCGATAAAAACTCCACTCTCGCCCACTCGGTCCACAAATCCACCAGACGTCGGCCCACCGAGTATGCAAACGAGGCTGTGCGTGGAGCGCTGTTTATTTGCCACGGAGTCCCGCGCCTGCGCGGGGACAGATCCGCCGCTTCCCACATAAATTCGTCCGCCGGCCGGAAACGGGATTACAGACGACGCCGAGCGCGTCGTAAAAGGCACGGGCGGCGCTTGAGTAAGCAGTAACACGGCCGTAAAACACGGGGCGCGGGAGATATCGAAAACGGCGGAGCAAGAGGAGGAGGACGACGAGGAGCGGGGAAAGGAGGGAGCGGGGAAAGGAGGGAGCGGGGAAAGGAGGGAGCGGGGAAAGGAGGGAGCGGGTATTAAGGAGGGGCAGAGTTTGTGGCATCTCCTTCCACATGCGACGCGCAGAGACCATCACAGCAGGTGCGTTGAGACTTGACGATCTGGGATCCACGGAAGCGATGCATCTTCTATGATTTGACTTTGTATTCGCCCTGTCCTCGCGATAAATACCATTTTGAATACGTAAAGAAATACGGGGTGGCGATACAAAACAATCTTGAATTCGTGCTCATAAAACCAAAAAAGTTAGTACACCGACCACACTTTAGAAGTTACTAAGAAGAGCAGAGGCTGATACTGAAATGTTCTTTATAACGGAATTTAACCATCGAAAAATACTCTTAAATACAATTATTTAAATGTTTAATTTGCATGGAAGACAATTTCAAATTAAAACCCATCACTGATCTTTAACGGGGCTTGCAGCATTTGAATTTATCAGTCACGTCTAAATCCTTTTCTTTAAAACTAGCCCTGAAATTACACTATTTGTGAATTAATCAGAGAGTGCAATGCAAGGGAAAAGACGTTTCACATGACAGTTCAGGACGTTTGACATGAGCTGTGCAATGGCGTCCTACGTCTCTGCAGCAACCAATGCATTACCCCCCACGCGAAAGTGGCTTTTAAGATCCGCACGCACAGGCGCACGCACTCAATGCTGGCGGGAACTATCCCGCGCGTCCGACACGCATCGACGAACCTTACGCGGGCCATTGACCGGGGGCCGCGGAAGGGGCGTGCGGGGAGCGCGCTACACCCGGAGCACAACCACAACGTAAAGAAGTGATTCCACGGCAACGAGCATCTCTGCCATAGCCTCCACCACACCACCGTTTTCACCGTGCCATTACCTGTCCCGCCTCCCACCCTGCCACGTCCGCCCTCCCGCACTGTAGTACCAGCGTCCACCCTACACTACCTTCACACCCGCCCCACATCGCCAGCACCTCCTCACTGACCCTCTCCGCCCCAACCTTCCAACCGCCTCCACCACGCCACTAACCTTCACACCTTGCCGAATTGATATTTGCCACCACTCCGCCCCCCGCCCATCCGCTATTGTCTCTAACCCCCCCCGTCAATGCTACCACTCGCCCGCCCACACCAGCATCTCACCCCGCCGTTACCTCGCGCTCTATCAACCACCCTTCCATTTCCTCCGCCACATCATCACCTCTAGGCTCAGAGCAGCGAAACCAGTGGCGCGCCACTATTCCCGGCCTGCATGGCGAAGCTTGTTTGCACAGACCCCGAGCGGCAGCTGCGCAAAAAACCCCTCCGGGCCGAGGCGGAGGCGGGCCGAAGGTCGAGCGAAGAGGCGAACGCATGGGGGCCCCCGTTGCAGCAGCAGCAGGAGCAGCCGCAACCCATTGAGAGCGAAGTCGGGCCTAAGATCGCCCATTGTGCGCCACAATGGGCCCTTGTGAACGCGAGCTTCGAGGCGAGGCTGCGGAGGAGGGGCGCCGGGGTCGGAACGAGGGCGGAGGAGGCGGAGGCGGCGACCGCCAGCGCCAAGGCCGGGGCGTCCGCTTATCGCGCGCGCGCGTCGCCGAACTTTCTTCAGGGCGCCGCGCCGCGTCGGAGAAACCGCACACCCGGCCCTACTTCCGTAGCCCAGATCCGATCGCCGCCCACCCGCCCTCGCGCCTCCGCCGCCGGCGCCAGCGATGCCAGGGAGCATTGTTCGCCAGCCTCCCGGTCCCGGTTCGTCGTCGAGTAGGGCGTCGAAGTCTCCGAGAATGTTGAGAGGGGGAGACCGAGGCGTGACACAAATCTCACTGAAAAGCGGCGTGGTATAATCGGGTTTAAAATCCATTTTTTCAATATGAACAATATGAATAGATATTATGTTATGAAACTTCTTGTCAATGTGTGTTAGGCTTTTGGGTGACATTTTATTCTTCGATCACGTCTTCAGTAAGTGTGATTGCCAAAAAACCAACAACATTGGAACACGCATTACGGACTGAAACTTTTTGCTGTTTATGAACTTTAGCAATAAAAATAAATATAAATTTGTTAAAAGTAGTTCTGTATAACTGACAAAAACGGAAGCATTCTAAATCATTCTTCCAATAATGTAACGATTCCTCAGAATATCTTCTGTACACGGCGAAAACAAATTACCAATGTTTTACATTGAACATTTTCGGAATGCTCAGAATTTCTATTTCATGTATATATTGACATATCCATTGCATCATTTTATGAAATATTCTTCAGCACGACGTACGGAAAGTATTTAAGTGAGAAGATTTCCACATTTGTCCTTACATTACATTATGTGCAATGGAGATAAGAGAGTCTGCTGACATTTTAAAAATAATAGTTAACTTGAAACTGAAATCAATAGAAATTTAATAACAATGCGAAATTAATGACAAATTAACTAACGAGAACACAGATCTGACAAGCTCTTCCAACCATCCTAACGCGAGCTATGTTAGGAATATTTCCACCAGAACTGATCTTCCCGGAACAAGCAGTCATTCGGCATCCTTCCACGAACAATTCCCTTCAGCACCCATCCACTGGCAGAAGTGTTCGTTCATTCGCTCGTCCAGAACTCTAAACACCGCAGCGCGGCGCGGCGGACCTTCCGAGAAGCGGCAACCTGCGGCCGCCCCGCGAATACGTCCCGATCGGCGCAGCGGCGCGGCGCGGCGCGGAGCGGAGCGCAGCCGGGGAGAAATCGGACGCGGACGTGAGGCCGGCTCGGCGGCGGCGGCGGTGCGGTCCCTCCCGCGAGTAATGGACTCCGCGAGACGCGGCGCCCGCGACGCGCCGACGTGTCGGGTCGCGCCGCCGGGGCCTCTGGGCCAGCGGGCCACGGACGGGGCGGAAGATGAGCCTCCAACCCTTCACGACCGCCCTACTTCGCTATTTAGGACGCGGAATTCTTGGCACGATCGCTTTTGCTCGGGTTGATCCAATCTCACAGAACAAGGTCTTTCATTCATTTATCTGATCTTTTAGAATAAAGCCATTTCCCGAAAGGGATATTATTTAACAACATACGAATGAATCCTTGGGCCAGAAAAGTTATTTTACCTGGTAGTCGCTCGAGAGCAACGTTAAAGAAATAACGTTTGAACTAATAGGCTTAGAAAATATTTTATTCAATTATTTAAACCTTGTTAAGTGTAGAAACACTGCTATACATCAAAGTTCGATATGAATAACACGGGCGGATGCAAGGAGAGGGTACTGCGGGAGGGGGGCATGGCTCATCCCTCATCACGCCACTTCTGTAATTCTTCATTAATTTGTTCAAAATAATTACCATACATAGATCTCAACTCATACAAAAAATTATTCCCTAAATGAATATACATACATTAATAACGGTTAAGACAATATTAACAGGGAGTTTGAATTGAAATTGTTCCCTATCTGAAATATATTCTGGATTCGCTATTAATCATTATTCCGGTACAATGAAAGGGAATTGCAAGTACTTTCTAAAAAACTCCTATTATATTGTCATGCCTAGTGCCGCATTGCCTCTGGGTTAGAAGCGCGACGAAGAAATAATACTTATCTTCAATCTTCAAGAACGACCCTACGTAATTATTACGAAATACCTGTGTACAATAATTCATACTTAATATTTTTGTGTGGAGACAAATAGAAGCACAAGTTTCCAGCTATGATCGAACTATACATTACTTGAATGAACACTTACCAAAAAAGTTTGCAGTAGGAACATATCAGTGCAATTACATTTCCTGATTTACCTGTGATATAGTAGAAGAACTACCTATATTTATTTGGAATTAAAATACGCAATACGATTATTAAATCAACTAAATATTTTGCTCTAAATAGTCCATATCACTGCAGACGACAAATTGCAGAGAAAAGCTAGAAACGATTAACCAGTTTATCATAAAAAAGAACTAAGGAATATCGAAAACCATGAGGAAAACTAAGAGTGGAAAAGAAGCCTAATATGTCAGAAACGGAGAGAGCCACGCAGGACACAATTAAGTCCACCTCTCCGGAGGGAAATGCTTTCCACTCCCCATTCGGTCGGGGCGACTTCAGGCTCACCGCGGCGTAAAACGGCCAATGCATCACCATTAAGGCGCGATGCCGCCCATAACAATCCCTGGGGCTCCACCCAGGCGCGACGGCAGCGGCAGCGGCGGCGGCGGCGGCGGCGGCGGCGGAAAGGTCGACACACACACACGTGCGCGTACGTGTATGTGCGAGCGCGGGGGGCAGGACCCGTGGCAGCGTGGCCCTCCTTAGCCCACGCCCCCACCCTGTGATTAAACAGACCCGCCGGCCGCAGAGGATAGTGGTTGGTCGCACACCTCCCCAATTACCAGCGCTAGGCGCCTATTGTTTATGTGCGGAGGCTGCCGGCGCGGCAATGACTGCTGCCGCCTCTGCCGCCGCCTCCGCCCACCTCTTCGCCTCCGCCTCCGCGCGGTGGTTACGAACGATTTACGGGTCTCGCGCGGTTTCACCTCCCCGAATTTATTTATCGAGTCCCGTCCACAAGAGACGCCTTAACATGGCGAAAAAATGTAAAGGAGCGATGAGGAGTTAATGACTGCGACGCTCCATTGCCTTTGGTAGGCGATGGCGCTTGGAGAAAGCGATCGTCCTCTACACATGCTGTGTCTTTGAGGCTTTACGGCGGGCACAGTGCTAAAGCTGCCGCTGAAACTGAAACTGAATGAATGTGGCAGAAACGTTGATGCAATTCGCAGTACGAAAGGAACTGTTGGCGAAGTTAAGTGTACTAAATATGAAAATTAGAGTTCTAAAATGTATGTGAACGAGTGGGCACCGATGATATTTTGTCGCTAACGCTGACCGTGGTGGGGTGAAGGAAGATATTTTATACGGCAGCTGTTTTCATGTTAATGTGTTGGCGAATGTGGAAGCGAGGCTGATGGCGGGGTAGTCGCAGAGGGAACGATGAATAACGGGAATGAAGTAGACAATGACAGTATTTGTAAAGTGGTGATGAAAGAGGCGACAAAGACGGTGAAAATTACAAAGAAGGTAGTGACTGATCTTCGTAGTAGTGTGATGGAGAAGGTGATTGAGATATCGGTGGTTTTAGAGAAAACAAAACGGTAGGAGAAGACTGTGGCAATAGATTTTAATATTGCAGCTATCCGGGGGGTTTTCAACGCCTGAGGCATCCATAACAATTTTGAACATGAGCCTGGAGCAGTACGATCTGAAGAAGGCCACAATACGCTGGCCAAAACGTTAGCCACCATGACAGTGACGCGGCTCGTCCCGGATAGCCTAGACAACATAAATTCCGGCCGAGAAAGCCTCCGCAACAATATCCTGAGCCTGGAGCCAAACATTTTTTTTCGAATGTACGTTTCCAGAGGAGTGCCCTCTTACTAGCAATTCTGCTTCAAATAAAGCCAAAGAGTAGACTTGTACTTCCAGGCTCAACAAATTCGTCACTACGACATTTGTCTCAAGCAAGTTCTATGAATTTAGCTCTTTTATGGCCCAATCTTACATTTTTGTTCATCTACAAGATGTACTGGCCGGAAACAACAAAGCTATGAAACTAAGCTCGCAAGTCAATTTCAAGCATATTTCGTTAAACCCCATCGAGATTTTGAAAGGCTGAACCGCAATGAGCACTCAAAAGTTTGTTTGAAAAAATACTTTCCATACAAAGAATTAAATTTCGAAAACACAATCACTCCAGGATCATTATTTTTTATTACGTACAAAAGGTATGAATAATGTTTATAAAGAAATATTAACACAAATTTAAAAAAGCAACTTAGTTTTGTAAATTAGGGTAATACTTTCTTTCTGGGAAAATTCCTTCCCCTCCTTTGAAGTTTCGTGGTTTCCCCCGCTAACACCTGTATATTCATTTATTCGTTCAAAAACTTTATTTACAATATAATATATTATATATATAATTATATATATAATTATATATTATATAATATTGTATATATTCATTATAATATTGTATATTTTAATTATTTCGTTCAAAAATTTTATTTATATATTCATTTATTTGTTCAAGTAATATTTCTTTTTATTTTTGTTCAAAGGTTTTATTGAATTATTTTTATTTCACTTTGAGGGAAGACAGACTGTAGCGGTGACTGCAGCGCGTCAGTAGCTGGAAGGCGACATCGCCGCCGGGGAAGGCGCGGGGGGCAGCAAGTGGGCCGCCGCCGCCGAGAGAAGGCGCGCGCCACGGACGCGAGGCGCAGGACGCGTGACGCCACCGCCGACCGGTTCCTCGCGTCCTGGGACGCGCGTGTCTTGCGAGCCCTGCGGGCGACGAGTCGCCGGAAAAAAAAGCCGGACAGCGATTCTCGTAACAGCCTGGAAATCGCGTTCGGCCGCTTCGCTGGTGACTCTCCTCCATCGAGACGGGAAGTAGGCGCGCGCGTGCTTCCGGAGACTGATGGCGATTGGCCGTCGCCCGAACACGCTTCCTTAGGCACAATGCACTGAAACCACCTTTTTTTTACTGGTAGCACGGAATCAAAAGTGTTTTATGAAATCTTCCTCACACAAAAGTAAAAATCTTTAGCGATTGAAATACCCTACAAAATTCCTTTTTTCAAACTACATTCATCATTTATACTTTAAAAAATTATTTAATATAATAAGTAATTTATTAATACTATCATTGAAATAATGCTTCATTGCTTCATTTGCAGTTTGTTATAGGAGACGATGAACCAAGAATTAAAAAACACATTCAAATGTAATTCCAATGGTGTGTTTTCCTTACTCAGATCTTCACATATTCTAGAGTACAATAAGGCCCCATACAAAACGCGTAAAAAATATCCTCCT